TTTTTTTCCCGGTGTCTGGAACATTATGAGACCGAGTTAGAAGAATTCGCCCATGACCCCGCCCAATTCCGGCGCATGCCCCGCCCCTTGGGGGCGGAGCTCCGCTAGGCTCACATGTGCTCTGTTGCACTTACCCTATGCTCAACCCATTCCAAACTTGACCCGACCTCTCCAGGTGTTTCTTCACGTTATATCGAATTTCCGTACAAACAAACAAACAAACAAACAAACAGACAGACAGACAGACAGAGCGCTTTATATATAGTAAGGATTATAAGGATATAGGGAAATTCCAATGATCTTTGGTGGAGAATATTAAATTTCAAATTACTGAGAAAAATTCAAATTTAGGAGCTCGGAGCACATACGCTTGAAAGCAAATTGCTGGCTTACCATAGCTGTTTCTTTTTCTTTCATTTGTTAGTCTCGCATATAAGCAATACACTCTAAACTTACTTGCTTGCCTCCTTGACATTTTCTTTCGAATCATCGGGTCTGAAAAAGGCCATTATTACAGTTACATATATAGCCTTTTAATCTGAGAAGAAAACATAACTTACTCATCTTCCTGTTCAAAGTTCTTTAGTGAAGTCAGCAAATTCTCTTGATCCTCATCACTTAGATATGAAAAGCCGCCCATATCTTCAATTTTGCCCTAAAATTACATTATTCAATAGTCGTAACCGTTACTTTGAAGAAAAGACAGCATTAACTCACTCCAAACTTCACATCTTTGAAGAGACACTGCTGGTGATACCAATTAGTGAGCTTTCCAAATTTCATTTCCTTATGAGCGATAGGAAGCTTGCAAGCAAAACATTTACCCCTGCGATAAACAAGCATATACAATAAGACCAAGTTGTTTCTGAAAACCTTACTCACCTGCTCGTTTTTGCATATTCTACTTTGATAGCCGAGAACGCTTTATCGGGAAACGACTCTGTAAGTTTCCCACTCATAAATGCTCTGATCTTTTCACGGATTCTCTCCTGAACAGAGAAGATGGATTACGTTACTCTTTTCAGACTGCAACTCGTTAATAGGAATCACCTGATCGTCCCATTTAATCACGTCCATTCCTCTGATTGATCTCTCATTGATTTGCACTTTACCAGGCTTGATCCTCTTCCAGAAGCATGAGAAGTGGAACCTAATAACTGATTTAAAAATAATGCTAAGCATAAGGTATAAATCAAGTTTAATCGAGCAGTCTCCCAACGTTTAAGCCATGAGATCGCAACTCATCAGAGAATGAAAGGAACGGGTAATAAGTACTTCTCCTGTTGCATAACTCTAGAAAATGCGATCAAGTGGCAGTTTGAGGAAGTGATTGTGACACAGTTCGCTCATTTGGTCCGATATTGTGGGCAGACGATCTCTCAGATGCGTTCACGAGTTTTACAAATGCCCCAAATAAAGTTTGATGAAAATGCAGCTGGGGAAAGGGGAAAGGAGAGGGGAGAGGGGACACTGCTGTTTTTCAACATTGAGTGCTAGGGCACAGACAAGGAGGGCTAGCTAATTTCGCGAACCCATAATGGTGCTTGCGAAAGATACTCAGTCGAGAAAACATAGTTCAAATTTCTTCTAAACCTGAAGAGAAAAGGATAACCGTGGGTGAGTCACCTAAACGTTTGTTTCTTACCTCACCCCAGCTTGTAGCACGAGGTAATCATCTCAACTGCCCCGCTCCTCCCCTTTTGAAGCGTACATGAAAACTATATTCCTGCTTAAGAACCTCTCTAAGCATAAGTTATGTCAATTTCGCGTCCGGCCTTATCGAAACCTGGTCATCGGCCTAATGTCTCTACTGCTCAGCCAAACAGATTGGTTTTAGTGGTACCGCTTTATTCGATTGTCGATTGGACAAAAACAACGAATGTCGTCGACGACTTGTCGACGACACTCGTTGGTCTGCGACTTACATCTGCGACTTACCCAAACCGGCCGAGAGTAACCCCTCTCGGATCCTAGTCCTATTAAATATGTGAAGAACAATAAACGAATGAGAATCGTTAACAGTAATGACCATACACTCATTTCGGTTGTTCAGCTTTGCATTTTCAGTGTTTTCAATATATCTTCCAGTATCGATTTCATTCTTCGAAGGCTAGTACCTTGTACTTACTGCCGAAATCAACGCTTGATAAACAAAAGTAAAGCCCGCTAGCCCCTCCCTTCGCTCTAGTGCTCAATTTTGAAGAAGAGCGTTCCCCTCTCCCACCACATATTCACCTAAAGTTTCCTCATTAAGATTAATAGGAAAGAAATGAAAAGATACCAATTATCCTGAAGGCCATCGAAGAATCGGCTCGGTTCGCGAACTGACATGCGTAATGAGTCCTGGAATAAAGCCAGAAATATGGTAGGATGGTTCGAGATTACTGCTTTACTACCACTATTCCATTTTTGAACAACAAAAAATCCTGAATTGTCCGATAGAATCTCCAGACTGGGTTTTGTAAACTCGGTACGAATCCAATGATCTTCTTTGATTCCGCATTTCGCGAAGGTCCCCTTTTTACACTTCTTGAGATCAGATCATCAAAGTCTCCCATATCCCAACTCTTTTGCAAAGGCGGCTTCGGAAATGCTAACAGAGAGAGCCAGGTAAAATCACTACCTGTCCAATGAGATCCTTGCATCCTTTGCAAGAAGACCGTGAGGAGCGAGCATATTCAACACCAAACGGCAAGTTCTTGCTTTCCACCAAATCCGTCGTTTTTTCCGGTTTGCTTTCCACCATATCCATTGTTTTTTCTTGTAATAGTCTCAAAATTGCGAAAGATATCGAACTGCAATATACGGTTCTGGAAGATGCGGCACACGATTAACGAGAACAAGAGAAACCCCATTTACGCCATACATTACCACTCAATTGAAGGCAAACATTGGCACAAACAGAATCGACGAAGAAAACAGCAGAAAACTATAGTCGACGCGATGACACTCCTCCCAGGGTATGCCCTGACGGTCCCAGTTACTGAGGTTTGATTTTCCCGCGCGTCGAATCGTGCGCGAAATAGAATTTGAGCGCAATATGGGCTACGCCGTTGTGCATCAAATGCTCTGATGAAAGTGGTTTTGGAGAAATTGAAGCTAATCTTAACTTGTTCCAGAGGAACGTTTTACTTTAGGGTTGTAATATAGTTGGGGAGGAGGTGGGAGAGCGTTAGAGCGCGGCTAGTCGAACTCGTGAGCTCCTAATGGCGCTTAGGAAGGTTTTTTACCCAGGAACGTATAAATTTTGCCAACTAAGCCTCAGATGGGAAGGGAGCATCGGGTGAGTGAATGAATTAAATCTTCAATTCCTACCCCAGTTCCCAGTTTTGTGCACGAGGTATCATCTCAGTCACCTTTGTGCTCCTCCCCTTCTAAAGCTTGGGTAAGAACGATATTCCTTTCGTTGAGAAGCGTCTCCGCAAGTGGGATTCGCTACCCCTCTTCCTCTGCACTCTAGAGCCCAACATTGTATACATGGCCCCCTCCCCGGCCCAACTATATTTTCACCCAAAACTTGTTTTGAGTTGGCACTTTTTGTTTGTCTGCTGTATTTCGAAACAGTTTGCGATGCGAAAGTCATCACAAGGTTGTTGAGTCATGGGCAAAACTTTGTCCTCCGGTGGGGTTCCAACCAAAGCTTGTGCTATCCGGGGCTTTATCTGTACGGAATCTTCGCGCTAACTCTTTGTACTGTAATACAGTAGTACTCCAGTTTCAAAAACCTGTTCGAGTGCGAAAATTATGGCAGGAGAGAAATTTCGCACTTCCTTCCTCCTTTTTTTCCTCCTCCTCATCCTACACCTTGATGCAGACCCTTACTATGTCATATGGTCTTTCGCTTGCTACAAGGCTGCCTATATCAAAGGGACAGTCCGGTATTCGCCTAAAAAGTCTATGCTGGAGGCCATCTTCATAGTTAGACAAGTGATGGAGAACTATTCGGAAAAGGGTAGACCCTGTTACCTGGTCTCTCTCGATATGGAGATATGGGGAGGCTTTGTATCGTCTCCTGAGTAAGTCGTTTCGAGGGTGCTCCCTGTACGAAACGTTCCAACAACCTAATTTTCTGTTACAAGTATTGTGGATCCACGGCAACAATATGCACTCCTCACGGCCCTACCGAAGCAGTACACGTCACGGTTGGGATGCACCACGGATCAGCTCTGAGCCCGTTCCTCTTCCTGCTTACAATGGATATTATCCCACGAAAACTCATGATTGGACTAGAGAGGGCCATCCTTCACCAATGATATCCCTCTAATGGCGAAGGGCGAAGAAGAACTTCGGGACAATCTTCTGAAAGGGCAAAAACAGAGAATGGCCCTTGGTTGAAAAAGGGAAAGACAAAGTGCTTTAGCTCCGAGGAGGCGCAGAACCAGAATGCTCAGATTGTCTTGGGGAAATCATCGTAGGAGTGCAGGATTTTCGATGCCTATGAGTGACCGAGGGGTGTGTGCCGATTCGTGCGATTCTGGGTGCGCGGCGGAATTCGTGAAGATTCGAACGACTCTGGCGCCTATGATCCTACTAATCCACTCTACTTCAAGTTTGTGCTCCAATAGTAGGCGTCAGAGTCGTTCGAATCATCACGAATTCCGCCGCGCAGTTTGCCGCGCGACCCAGAATCGCACGAATCGTGCGTCCCCCGGGACCGAGGTGCTGACGATAGTGCGGACAAGGCCTACTAAACACTGCATGGATGAAATGGAAAGAGCATAACGGCATCCCCGCGACCAGCGGTACTCTGGGAGAAATAAATAGAGCTGTACCGGGCAGTGGCGAGGCTCGGGGCAGTTCGGTGCATTTCCAACACCGGATTCTCTGTTCCACTCTTGCACTTGATCCGGCCAGCTTGATGGCTACGCTTGCATCGCCAGGTTATGCTGCGGAACTAGATCTTCGCCAAACATTTTTTTACATTTTTTAAGTATTGAAGAACAATTTTCTTACGATAACATTTCTGTTTTTGTTTCCTCCATATATCGTTATCGTTTGCGCCTCCCTTCTCGCGAAGAACATGCTGCAGACTGCTTTATGCGTAGGTAGACATGGGCTATAGGCAGTGACCAACTGAGTATCTGACTCTATTTTTCGATCCCCGTGAAACGTTTCTATGCTCCTTCTCTACCTACGTGGCCATTCGGTTCAACCGCTATGGTGAGTTGATGCCCTTTTGGAACCGATCTGAAGGCATCGACAAGGCTCAGGTGAAACTGCTGGGTCGTGGTGCGTACACGGATTTTCGTTGTGCAGTACCCCTCTTTCGTGCCTTTCCTCACAGCCGTAATTCGACGGATGATCCTGGCGACAGCGAAGGCAGAGTCTCTAAGGGACTCTGCTACTACAATGGCCACACCACTTCGCTTCATTCTCTCTATTTTAGCAGAGTTGGATGCCTTCCAAAACCTCTCTGGATTTTCTCCTTTCCAATGTGTATTGCTGGACCCACTCTCTGATGCGGGTACGACTCCATAATTACAGTTTTCACAAGGCACTTTTTGGCCTCGGCGAAGAATGAACTTATAGTCGTTTGTGAGTGTGAACACGAGCCAAACTCCTAACCACTCGGCTAATCCTGCTTCAACAATCTTCACTGCNCTGCTAGATGGGTGGCTGAGGAACTACGAATCGGGACTCGACAGAATTAATCTCATCTGTACTTAGTAGCCACCTGGTAGATAGTTCCGTAACGAAACAGATTATAGCAACGCCCATCGAAAGTTCTGTATGACTTACTTCGCTGACGTCAGTTAAGCATAACTTCTGATCGGTGTGCAAATTGATTCATGTTCTGCTAGGTTCTACCTTGTTAAGAGAAAAAGAGGCTGCGAAGGTGGAGAAACGAAGCCCCAACACTGCTATAAATTGAGATCACATTGCTACCCGTGTGTGTTTCTGGGAAGGGTCCGTTATCGACCAAATCAATGATCAATTAAACCTGCTCAATGGACATCTTCGCGATAGTATTGAGAAAGCAGTGGAATCCACAAGTTGCCAAGAAAAGCCTCTCTTCGAGGATTTCGAGCCTGATAGGACAGCATGGAAAAGCGCGAGCTACAAGCCATCATTAGTCAACGTGCACATTTATGCAGATAAACGTAAAGAAAGATATGAAGCACAAAAGAGCAGCAGTTCCGGCTGAAGATTTCGAGATTGCAAAGAGAATTGGTCCTTCATGTACAAAACCCACATGAACACATGGTTCCATCGTCGTCCTAACGGAACAGTTACCATGTTATCTAAGAGCAGCAGAGTAGGTCATCTGCGGATTCTACTCGGATATCCTCGACAGCCACGTCTACCTGCCTACCTACCATCTAACTAGGACGGATATGACGTTCCTTCAGTTTCCCCTCCCCAAAATTCGAAAGACCATTACGTCGAGAGGAATTGTGTGGGCCCGGCTTCGACAAGATTATACCTTAACATCTGCCTCGCACCTCCTCCAGACTTTTCAATGCCACTCGAAAGTGTTATGCGTCATTGGAATGATAGGAAGCGCGAGTAGAAGTCGAGGTTGTCGAATGCCTTAGCTACGTGTATCTTTGAAGTCACATGATAATTGACGTAGCTCCGGAGTTGAGCAGAAGGAAACACTCGACGAAACACATTCACTCAGTAATGCAAGGGAGTCGTGATAAAGACGCAGAACATTTCACCCCGCTCTTTCATTTTCGAAAATGACTTCCTTCTTGGGTGTACGTCTCCGTGACTTTGACTCCACGAGCGAGCAGTCAGCGTCACTCAACTTGCTGTGTTAAAGAGCTCAGAATTGTCAATGACGCTCACGTCAAGGAATCGAACACCAGGTGGGCACGTTATATGATACTGTGAATTACTGTTAGACTAGGGCGACTACTGAATGAATCTCTCGGGATGCCATATGAACATCAGGAACGCAGTGATCAAACTGTGTCACGAAAGCTCCGAACTAAAGGAATGCTATGGCTTGTGTCCCTCGAGCGAGGAAGATCCACTGGACTACTCTGGCTCGCGAGAGCGACGATGGGCCGCTCAGGAAATTGATGATCAACGGGACGACGGATGATACAGACGACGTTCCCAAGGGTAGCTTATCAGGGCCTGGCTTAGGCTGGGTATACGTCAGCAGGTAGCCGTGCTGCTATGTCCTGCTTGAGTTCTAATTATCAGAACTTTTGGACCTACCTTATTTTGCCGTTTCTTTGCCCGTTGTAGGCTCCAATCCGTCAAGAGGTCTCGCCACCAATTGACTATGATCTTTTGGTGAGAAAAAACCTTTATTGACTGAGGCTCTATCACTTCTAGGTGATTGAAGCATTCAAGTGTTTATTTTCATTGTTTCGCGCCCCATTTTCTGAACGCACACCCTCCTTTATTATCAATGATTTCCTTGTGTTCCTGCGGAGCATGAAATCACTTTGTATTATGGCATACAATGGAGACAACCCTTGAGCCTTTGTTGAGCTCTAATAGACCGTTTTTCGGCCAAATAACGGCTCATTTTCTAAACTTGGGGTAAGCTCTGACATCTAAGCAGCAATGATGTGTGCCCTAAAAGTATATGGCGTAGTTTAGCATATGGTATGGCGGTGAGATGCTCCAGAACAATCCTGTAATGAAAAAATTCTGAAATGAATTTCGCCTTGACTTCCTCACCAGCACCCTGAGCAATGTTGTGTATAGATTTTTTCGCTGCTAATTCTTAAAGTACACTCATGTTTGGTGGACAAATTGAGCGACTTTGACGACACTTGAGTTTCCCTCATG